CCATTTATTTATTGAAGGACATCTTGGTTGCTTCCAACTTTTTTTTTTGAGACAGGTCTCTCTCTGTTGCCTGGGCTAGAGTGTAGTGGTGTCATCATAGCTCACTGTGTAACCTCGAGCTCCTGGGCTTAGGTAGTCTTCCTGCCTCAGCCTTCCGAGTAGCTGGTACTACAGGTGTGTGCCACCACACCTGGCTAATTTTTCTTATTTTTTGTAGAGACAGGGATCTCTCTATGTTGCTCAGGCTGGTCTTGAACTCCTGGCCTCAATTGATCCTCTGGCCTTGGCCTCCCAAAGTGCTGGGATGACAGGCTTGAGCCACTGTGCTGGCCTTGCTTCCAACTTTTGGCAATTATGAATTATGAATAGAGCTGCTGCAAACATTCATGTGCAGGTCTTTATGTGGACATAAGTTTTCAACTAATTTGAATAAATTCTTAGAAATGCGATTGCTGGATTGTGTAGTAAGAATATATTTAGCTTTGCAAGAAACTGCCAAAATGTTTTTCAAAGTGGGTGTATCACTTTTTATTTCCACCTGCAAAGAATGAGAGTTCTTATTGCTCCACATCCTCTCCAGCATTTGGTGTTGTCCGTATTCTGGATTTTAGCAATTCTGTAAGATTTGTAATGAAATCTCTGGAATCTCAGTGTTTTTTTTTTTTTTTTTTTTTTTTTTTGAGACAGAGTCTCACTCTGTTGCCCAGGCTAGAGTGCCATGGCATTAGCCCAGCTCACAACAACCTCAAACTCCTGAACTCAAGCAATCCTTCTGCCTCAGCCTCCCTAGTGGCTGGGACTACAGGCATGCACCACCATGCTCGGCTAATTTTTTCTATACATTTTAGTTGGCCAATTAATTTATTTCTATTTTTAGTAGAGATGGAGTCTTGCTCTTGCTCAGTCTGGTCTCGAACTCCTGAGCTCAAACAATCCAGCCACTTCGACCTCCCAGAGTGCTAGGATTAGAGGCATGAGCCACCATGCCCGGCCTCTCATTGTTTTAATTTGCAATTCCCTGGTGACATAGGACGTTGAACATCTTTTCATATGTTTATTTGCCACATATAGATCTTTTTGGTGAAGTGTCTGTTCAGATTTCTTGCCTGCTTTTCATTTAAGTTGTTTGGTTTTTTATTGTTGAGTTTTGTATATTTTAGTTGACAGTCCTTTATCAGATATGTGTTTTGCAAACATTTTCTCGTGATCTGTGTACTGTGGCTTGCCTTCACTTTCTTAACGGTGTCTTATGAAGAGCAGGTGTCCATGAATATCTGTCCCCTATAACATGTCCTGTCAGGTGGAGGATGACTCATTTCCTCAGGAACTAGAAGTTTGTGAAATAACATTGTAAACCACATCTAGTTAGTTTTATAACCTAGGGTGTACAGCTACTGAGAATGCAATGCCATCTTCCCTAATAGTTTTAAGGAAAAAAAATCATTGTCCTTTTCTTAAATCGAATGTGTTTTCATTGTTACTACCATAGATATTCTTGAAATCCTCTTTTTATAGAGAAAAAAATGAATTTCCTTTGCAGAAAGTGAGGAGTGAATTGTTTTAAAATGGGGAAAATATCTATTTCAGGGAATAACCCTCCCATCTTTTGATTTTCTTTTAAGGAAACAGTTGCTAGTGCTGTATGTAGACATAGTAGCTGTGTAGTCCCAGCTGAGTCACTTCACTTTTCTGAACTTTCATTTCCTTCGTATCTTCCTCTTCATCTGACATATACCCTTCCACCCCTTAAACAAAAATCATTTGCCAGTGAGGATCAAATGAGATAAAGTAGAGAAAATGCTCTAAAACTGTATAGTGCTTCATGCATGCACTGTTATGGCACCACGAGAAGTGATTCTTGGGGCCAGCGATGGCTGCACAGCAATGTGACTGCACCTGAGGCCTCTGAGCTGTACACTGACACACGGTTACAACGGGAAATTTTATGTTATATGTATTTTATATGTAATTTGCCACAATTAAAAAAATTTAAAAAGTGACTCAGCACTTATCCTTAGGGTGCCCCATTTCTTGAGGTGCCCCGTATCCTTGAGGTGCCCCATTTCTTAGGTACAGGCACATAGTGAAGCAAGAACATTGAGGACCCTCATCTCTTCTATGATCGGAACTTCAAGAAAATTCTGGCAAAGCTATATCAGTGACATGAATTTGGGAATCAGAGCCTAACAGTGATCTATTTCTTCCTTTCTAGATCAGGGGTATGATTTCTTTTTTTTTTTTATTTTTATTTTTTTTCAAGATTCCATGTCGAGCTTACAGGGGTATGATTTCTTGTCTGCAGTAGTGTCTTTTGAGAAAATAGAGGCGACAGGTGTTGGCAATCAATAAGATTGCAGAATACACATGTTGTGGTCCCTGGTTGTAAATTCCTCTGTATTAATACATATGCTCATGACTGTCTAATCATTTCAATACCAAAATGAAAAACAAATAACTTGGAATCCCAGCTGCTGAAAGCTTTGTATTAAGATAACTCTTTGAGCATCTCCTGACAAGGCCCAGAAGATGAAATAGCTAGGTTCGAGTGTGGTCTCTTTTCCCTTCTCTCGCCGCACTCTGGAGGAAGAGCCCAGGGCAGTGGCCAAGGTCAGCTGCCAGACAGTCAAAGAAGGGAGTGGAGAGACCCAGTCAAATCCACAAACTGTACCACCCTGGCCCATGGTTAGTTATATACTACTTAACAAGGAAGCAACAAACAAAAGAACATGCACATTCTGGAGATTTCTGTTTCACTGTCAGTATTTCTCTTTAAATAGTGTCCTGTAGTTCAAATCCAAATGAATGAGAAGAGTGCACTGCAGTTGAGCTTTAGTTGAGGTTTAGTTTTTCTTAGATTTCTTTGGGAGACTTACAGATCCAACATATTTTTAGTGGATTAGTAAGCATACTAGTAGACACAGTAGTCTCTGGAACAGGCCTTAGGTGGGAGCTGAGATTTAGGACGGTGGCAACCACCTGGAGAATGAGTCACACCAGGCTGTCTTCACCCTGCACTGGGCAGAGGCCAGCTGCCTGCCCCCTGTTCCTGCAGGGTATGGCAACAGCTCTGGGTCTTCCAGCTTCCCTGCATAAAGACCATGCACATTATTAATTTTGATATAAATAATTGTACAGACATATCTCAAGGTGGGAATGAGAAACTAGTTAGAGCAAATGAAGTAGGAATGATCCTCGTAGATCACAATAACCAACATGAGGTTCATGATTCGTTTATTAGTTATTCACATTCCTTTTTTAAAAGAAGTAAGACGGGGGAATCTAGGATCAGTGCCTTACAAATGGCAGAAGTTGAAGCCCTGAGACATCCTCCCCCCATCCTCAGTACTGCCCATGTGTGCCTCCAGCAACTCACCTATCTCTGCCAGGCAGGGCCTGGGTCCAGGCAGTGAGGTGTGCACAGGGGCCGAGAGTGGAAATTCAGGAGTGAGACACTCCTGAGTTCATGCGCTGGCCCTGCCTGCCTTTTGTCAGCTAATGACATTGAACTTAGCTCCTGCATTTATCTGTACACAGGCTTAATAATTTATAGCCATCTTACAGTTGTGAACTTACTGTAACAATGGTAGTGAGTACTTATTGGGAGCTGTCAAAAGCCCAGGCACTATTCTAAGTGCTTGAACTGTTTTATCTCCCATGATTTTGCTCAGGTAGGAATTCTGAAGCTGGAGCCTGAGGGCTGGTATTTTTGGAGCCTCTCCAGTTAATTCCAAGGTCAGTAAGGTTGAGATTCATGATTGTGTACTAATGTTTACACAGTGATGAATCATTCAAGTCCTTAATGATGAACAGACTTCACTCTGTCACTCTCTAGCAGAATGAGGTTGGCCAAGTCTTTCGACCTCCCCAAGCCTCAGTATCCTCATCCATAAAATGGGAACAATAGTAGCATCCATTTCTGAGAATTGTTTAGAAGTTGAAATGAGCCAGTGTGGGTGATCACGTCTGGCATACACAAATGATTTGATAAGTGTGAGCTCATGCCTTTAATTAGACCAACTCCTTTTTGCTAGGCAACTGAGAGAATCCAAGGACCTGCTGACTTTCGCGCACAGGTCCCTGTTTGTTTAAATTTGTTGTTCTTCCGTCCACATGGTGCATTCCAAATCCCAAGTATTGGGGAGTTATTGTGTTATTGAGTTATTGTGTCATAGTAGAAAAATCTTTGCCTTTGGCCCAACAGGACTGAACTTGAATCCACGTGACCGTTTGAGGCTTAGTTTCCTCATCCATGATAACATGGGGGAACGATACCCCTGCATTGCTGTGAGAAATGAGGTAGTTCATGAAAAGGGTGCAACATGCAGTTATTGTATCATTGTTGGTGCTTTGGTTATAAAATGTACACGATGTGGAAACAAAAGGGCAGAAAATCCTTAAAAAAGTTTAAACAGGAAACAGAGGCAGAGGGTGGGGAGTGGATGGCAGATGGGGAGATGCAGGGGAAGGCCTGTGGCAGGGACAGCCTTGGGGGCAGAACTTAGTGTCCCCACCGTTCCAGGCTCAGCACTGCAGACACCGGGTACCACTAAACCCAAGAGCAGGGCCGGGGATGGGGGCTGGAGTGTCCTCGCCCCTACTCAGTGTTGGGCCACAGCCCTTCCTCCCTTTTGTGCACAATCTCCCCACATTTCAGCTACAGGCTGGCTTTGACCAAGAAGAGCCCCTGAGACATGATGGGGTGCAGGGGCTGTTCACAGCTTCAGTGCTGAGATTTGGACCGAGGCAGAGGGAAAATTCCTCTCCCCAGACTCCTTGCAAGGAAGAATGGCATATAGCTAGCCACAGACAGGGGTTCATAGTGGAAAATGGAGTCAGTATAAATGCTTTCCAATAAAGCATGGCTGGCTGCCTGGTTCTTAGTTTGCATATCAGTGAATTGTCTGCGACCTCCCTCTTCTGAATGGTTGGAAATGGGCACTGGTTCCTTTAAATATCAAATTTCCTGTTAGAGTGAGTCATTTCTGCTCTCCCATCTTAGGAACAAAGTTTGCTCTCTAGTTCTTTCTGTTGAGGATTTTTCTTTCTCTCTTGCTGAAGACCAGATTCTGGTCAGATTCACAGATTCTGCTTCTTTTATCTCTTGTGATTTGTTAAAGCCCTGCTGAATTCACTGCTTAACTCAACAGGAAGTGAGTCTACTGAGGGAGGCAGAGTCCAGTGAAGAGCGGAGGAGCTGGAGTGATCAACTGAAAGTAAAAGCAAGCTCCTTCCTGGTGGTGGTTTCCTCCTCCCTTCCCCCACTGGTTCCTGGGATTTGTTCTAGCAGTGAGCAGCTTAGGAATTTGAGCACGTGGAATGAGGCAGTTTAGGGGACTCAGTGGCTGTCGTGGTGCTGGGAAAGGGGGAAGCAGGTAAGTGCCTGGTGCCACGCAGCTTCTTTAATGGGAAACCTGAAAGTACTCCTGGCTTCATTGGCTCACTCCAGGCAGCTCAGACTTGCTCCACGGAGGAGACCTCTGGGTCCTGCCGAGCCCAGCTGTCCTGTGGGTTTTCTCTGGGGCCACAGCCACCGGCCTTGCTGCTTTGCCACTCAGAGGAGTTCCCAGGTCCTCTGCTAACTTTCTGTCCTCAGACACAGTCTCCCTCCTGTGCACCCATGTGGAGATTCCAGAGAACGTTTTTTTTACTTAAGTTTGTTTTCTTTTTCACTTGTTCCTGGGCTAATGAGTGGGCCACCTGCCAGCTCAGGATGCGCCTGAGGCCTGCAGCCTTCTCCCCTCCCAAGTTTTAGGTACTTCCTCCCCCCTACCCCCTCCTTGCTCCCCAAGACAACTCTAGTGCTTTGGTTTGGATCCCTGCATTTATCTGCACCTTTGCAAAATCGAGTTTTGCTTTGCGTTTATATGCTATTTTTTTTTTACCTACGTGACCTCGGACAAGTAAGTAATTCCTCTGGGCCTCTGGTTCCTCACCGTTAAATGGGATTAATAATGAACACCTCCGTGAGGTGGTTACAAGGTTTGAAGCAGATAATCCCTGTAAACCACTTAGGACGGTGACTGGCCAACTAAGCACCCGTGGGCATTAGCACTAATAATACTATTTGTATTTTATTTTACTCATCCTGTTTCTTACTTTTTATTTATTTAGTTATAATTGCAACAGGGTCTTGCTCTGTCACTTAGGCTGGAGTGCAGTAGCAGGATCATAGCTAAATGCAACCTTGAACTTGGGCTCAAGTCATCCTCCCTCCTCAGCCTCCCAAAGTGCTGGGATTCTAGGCATGAGCCAGCTTGCCTGGCTTTTTGTTTTTTTCTTTAAACTAAGCACGCTGCTCTTCAAATTCTCTGTACTCGGCTAGGCCCCAGTTTCTAACCACCGTGCAGTGTTACTAGTTGTACGGCCTCCACAAATCCTATCCAAGGGCAGCGTAAGAACTTGGCTGGTATGTGGGCCGTGGCATACGTTGATACTTGATCAGACTGAGCTCTGCTCACTGGCTTCCACGAGGCTTCCATTGTCCTGCCTGCCTGCCGATCCTTGGCCGATCCTACTTGCAAACCTTTGCCAGTGCAGTAGGGATAAAGTGGGTATCTTCCTGCTTTGTTTTGCATGGTCCAGGTTACCAATGTGTGATCACCCCTCCTACCCTTGAGCTCTTTGAGTATCCCCATTAGGGAGCTCCATGCTCACACCCATTGCCCTTCTACAAAAGTTTTATTTCTTGTTGATTTGCAGGCAATCTTTGTATGTTCTTGACATTGCTGTTCCTGCGGCAGGTCCTGGGGACAGAGATACGAAAGATGTAGTCCCCGCTCTCATGAGGCTCACAGCCTAAGATAGGAAATAGTCACAAAATGGTGGTGCAAATGCTGGAATGGGGGCTGGGCGGATGCAGGGGAATACCTCTTGGGGCTGGATTTAGTCACTAATAGGATTTCACTCTGTTGCTGTGTTCCCCATAAGACTTACCTGGGCAGAATCGAGTGTCAGATAATGGCATGGATATTATGAGGTCACCTTTTCCTAACCCTTTAGGGTGAACAAGGCACTTTCAGATACTTCATTCAATCCTCTCAGCTATAAGATGGGCCCCTGCCCTCTGTAAACTCGTATTCTACAACCCTGATCCTACTTGTGGGGATCGGTGGGCAGTTAGGGCAATGGAAGCCTCATGAAGCTTATAGACTACAGGCAGATTCAAAGAAGAGAGATGCTTGATTTTCTTTTCCTACTTTTTTTCCCCCCTTAAGGAGATGGGTCTCATGTTGCTTAGGCTGGTCTGAGCCTCAAGCAATCCTCCTGCCTCTTTTCCTACTTTTAACATTGGACAGCAGCTCAACTAACTCACAGTAGGAAGGCAGGGGGTTTTGTATGTTTTGTTTACTGTTATATCCCCAGAGCCCGGCATGGTGAGGGCCCAGGGTTTGCCTCTATGGCAAGATCACCCTGGTCTTCTGGGAGGAAGGCCTTTGGTTTCAGAGTTTTTTAGGCTGTTGAAGGTGGGATCTGCTGGCGTTGGAGCCACGGAGCTCATCCTTGAGCAAACCGTGAGATTTAGCGGTAGGAGTCAGTAGAGTTCTACTAACTGAGAACCTTGATGCGGGCCCTGCAGTGTCCAGATCTCAAGGCCTCTTAGGGGGGCCCGATCAATATTTATTGAATAAAAAAATTAAAGTTTTAATGATGAACCCAGAAAAATTCTTTAAAATCTTTATATATGAAAACTGAGGGTCTTTAGTCTTTAGTTCAACTTCCTCACTTTGGAATGTGGAAAGGAGGCTGTAAATGTAAATGACTCATCCAGTCACGTCATGTAGCCAGAGCCGAAGCGGGGTGGCCAGGTTTCTCACCCAGCTCTGTGCCCTGTTCCACCTGCCTCAGGAAGGAGCCTCTGTCACTCAAGCTACTCAGAGGCCAGCCCTCTATTTTCTCCAGCGCTGGCTTGTGACTCAGGAGTTTGAAAAACAGGAAGTACATCAGCTGCAGGGCCTTTGTGTGAGGCTTCTGGCCACGACTCTTAAGACTCCCATGCACAGACGGCAGCGAGGAGAACTGTGAAGAAGGTGCTTTCGCTGTGAAGGCCTCTTTGGTAAGGACTTGCCTCTTCCGTAAGGTCGGCTGGGCCTTCTGGGAGGGAGGCCTTTGATTCTAGAGTTTTCTAGGCTGCTGGGGGTGGGATGGAGGCGATCCGTGTGGGGGGTGTGGATGGGGGAGCCATGGGAGTTAGCCGAGGGACTTAGCGGTCCCTCTGAGCGCCCTGCCGAGGGCCCCGCTGTTGCCAGATCTCAAGGCCCCTCCAGCCTAGACTGATGCAGTCCTGGGGGTTCTGAGAGCTCCAAGGGCCACATCCTTACCCCCGCCAAACTGGTCAAGGAATAGAAGCCAAGGCCGGGCGCGGTGGCTCACGCCTGTAATCCTAGCACTCTGGGAGGCCGAGGCGGGCGGATTGCTGGAGGTCAGGAGTTCGAAACCAGCCTGAGCAAGAGCGAGACCGTCTCTACTATAAATAGGAAGAAATTAATTGGCCAAGTAATACATACAGAAAAAATTAGCCGGGCATGGTGGCACATGCCTGTAGTCCCAACTACTCGGGAGGCTGAGGCAGGAGGATTGCTTGAGCCCAGGAGTTTGAGGTTGCTATGAGCTAGGCTGACCCCACGACATTCACTCTAGCCAGGGCAACAGAGTGAGACTCTGTCTCAAAAAAAAAAAAAAAAAAAAAAAAAAGAATAGAAGCCAAAATTTAAATCTCAACTGACTTTGTTGCTACAGCTATCGACCCCCCCCTCCCCCCACCGACAGACTCACCGCTGGCATAAACCCACGTACACACATGCAGGCGCCCGCAAAGTGCTGGTAGTGCAATTATTTATTCTTTTGAGAAATTAAAAAGCTATAGAACAGTCCAAAGAATAATGCAATGTGACGCATAAATAGACTAAATCAGAAGCCTCTACTCATGGGATTAAGCATTTACAGGCGAAGTTATGAATTTCATTCTGTTTGAAAATTACGGGATTATGTGTTTGGTTGAGGTTTGAATGCCTTTACTGGATTGTTTGAACACCCTGGCTGCAGGGCCTTGCTGTGGACCGTGTTTGTGTGCAGAGGGGACATCTGTCAGGTTGGGGGGGGCGGGGAGCCCACAGTCGGGGGCAGCCTGCCTGCATGGGAGGGAGTGGTAAATCTATGGGTCAGGGCTGCAGTCCCCAACCCCGGGGCCGCAGCCTGGTGCCGGTCTGGTCCGAGACCTGCTAGGAAATGGGCCTCGAATCACCCCACACACCTCCCTGGTTCATGGAAAAACTGTCTTCCATGAAACCAGTCCCTGGCTGGGCACCAGTAGGTTAGGGGTTTGGGCCCGAGAGTGAGTGGCTTTCAGGTACTCTTGAGCTTTGGATGAGATGCAGATTTTTGTCTCAGAAGGTTAATGCAAGTTTTGTTCTTCCTCCCACCTTTTGGGTGGTTATCCATATCACTGAAGGAGCTAGGATGCTGCTGGAGTATTGCTAGAAAGACTGCTTGTGATTAGATGGAATTTATTTGCAGTGAAATTGTGGTATACGAGACAGTAGTAGAATGGGACTCTGGGACTCTAGCACTTCTTCTGTAAGGCTCTGACCCTTTCTCTACTGTAGTGGATTTGTTAAGAACTCCTTTTTTTTGTGGTTTCGCTGTTTTGTTTTGTTTTCGCTCTTTTAAAAATTTTAATCTCTAAACGTGTTATGTAATAATTTTAGGTCTTTCTTCATTAGATTAATTCACTGCCTTTCAACTGCAAATAGAATAAAATCTAAATCTTTATAGAGTCTGTTATTGAAGCCCTTAAGTGAGATACTTAATTGGGGCCTGACTTTCTCCTAGTAACTTATTTCTAAGCTGTAATTTTTCATAGTAGTAAAATGGGGATGATCATAGCAATTTCTTCAGAGGCAGTAAAATGAGATAAGAAAAAATATTTTTATTTTTATATGAGATATAAGTAATAAAACATTTATATTTCATCATGTAAACATTTATTTATATCTAAATACTTTGGGGCATAAATATGTTATATGAAATATTAAATATATTTATATAATACAAATATATTTATATCAAGTTATTACTTACCAGATATATAAAATATATGTCTTATATGGCAACATATTCAAATTTGTTTTATATATATTTTATATATGTGAATAAAATTGGGAAAAAGCCACAAAATATGACCAAAGAATTACTTCTAAATGGCTAGTTTTTAAGTAATTTTTAATTTTCTTTTTATACTCTTCTACACTTTCTCTGTGGAACAAGTGTTGCTTTTACTGTCCTTAGGAACGCAAAATATAGCAAAAAAATGTTATCTTATTAATTTAAATATTAGCTTAACAAAGTTTCTAGCACACAAACTTGTGCAGAGAATCTAGGGCCCATAAAATAAGAACTACAGCGTGGTCTCTGTTCTTACGGTGCTGGACAGCCCGTTGTTAATGGTGTCATAAATCCTGTGCAAGTGACTGCTTTTTGGGTACTATGACTGAAGAGATGGTACCTAAACAAAAACCAGAAAACAAAAAAGACTGACTATCATAGATAGTGTGTCCTGGAAAATCTGGGCCAGAAAAGAAGCCACATTAGCATTTTCCTTTCTAAGTGTCAATTATTTTGGTGGGAAAACCACTTAAAAAGCATTGGGTCACGTTACAATGAAGGTAACAAAATTAGGGAAATAGAATGGCTACGGAGGACAGGAGCTAAACACCAATCACGTTACATCCAAAGTCATGTCATCCTAGCTTGTGTTGTTTTTTTTATTGTATCCCATCTAAAAATGTTATTATGTAATAAGAACCTGAAAAAAATTTATTTCTTTTGATCCGGTAATACTACTTTTAGGGAATCATTCTAAGAAAATAGTCAGAGATGACTTATAGATTTGCATTTTAAGTTCATCCTAAATGTAATCAGGGACTGGTTCTGTAAATTATGGCCATACAATTAAATGCTTCACAGATATTAAAACCCATACTGTAGAAGAAAAAATAAAGACATCAAGATGTACTTACAAGATATATTTCTTGGTGAAAAAAATCAATATTACAGAAATTTGCTGTCTTCAAATATAAAGAAAATATATACACATAAATTTAAAAAAAATTCTGAGCAGTTTATTCTCAAGTCATTACAATGTTCAACCAGTTTGGCATATGAAGATAGCAGACATAACAGTAAACACTGGGAGGCACATATATATCCCATTCTGAAAGAAGACATGTTATATATACACAGAAAAAAAATACAGCAAATATTAAGGCATTCAAAGTAATTTTTTGACAACTCAGAAGTGACATATTTACAAAAGTGTAAGTTTTAAAATAATTAAATAATTTCCATAGACTTATAAAAGAATTAAGATAAATATTAGGAGACCCTGACAATTATAAGAACATTTCCTATGCTACTGAATAAGGGTGATTCTATAAGAAGTCCCAAAATCAAGCTAATATTTTGCCAACATGAAATATATCAAATTGCCAATAACAAAATATGCTAAAATGAACACACAGCGTGGAGGCTGTATCAAAGAAAACAATATCAGCCTCTTGAATATTGCAAAGTGTCTATCTAAAATTTCTTAGGTGTGTTCATAAAAAATAAACTTTCAAAACAGCCATTTTAATAGACATATCAGCAGAAGAAATGATAACTACTTAAAACTTTTTAATTCTATCATTTTCAAATGTAGCTGCAAAAGAGAAAAAATCTAAATATAACTTTTAAAAAATGTTAGCTTATGAAAAAAGTTGAGTGGTGCATTCTTTATGCATATGGATTTTTAAACTGATAATATATAGTTCTAGAATAAAATAATGTATCTTAAACTCTAGACCCCACTGTTATAGTAGGAAATTTCTCTTTCTCTTTATGTCAGACAAGAAGTCATCTTAGAAAATGAAAAGGGGAAATGGTGATATGTATGAATTCAAAACAAAATGGTACTGTAAAATGGCAAAATATGAAAATAGCAGCATGTGAAAATCAAGACTGTTTTCTTAAAATAAATGTTTAAGACTGAACTGCAAAAATGGTACATGCTCGAACTAGTCTATAATTCAACACCTGAAACTAAGGATTCTTTAGAGAAGTACTTATATTTCTGATAGCCCCATGATTATATGTCTACTCAAATTTGCTTTTTAAAAGTTATATATTGCACAGGTAGTAGAATATCAGCATTCTGATATTTCTAACATAAAATGCTATCTTATTTAACACAATAAACTATGCTACTGAAAATTTTATCCCAATGTTTAAAACCAACTATGTAGGACTATTAAGCACATTAATCTCAAAATATTCCTAAGCAAGATGAAAAAACATAGGTACTGGAATATAGGTTATTAGTGACAAAAAGTAGAGTCCCCAACAATTTCATGACTAAGGGCAGTTATATCTTTACATATAAACTTGAGGTCTTTCACTGATCCAAATATAGAAATAAGAACTATTTACAAAACTTTGATAAGAAAATCAGATCTCCCCAAAATTTCCTACCAAATAATTTTCACTTAATGAAAGCACTGACTGCTACAAGTCAGGATTAAATTTTTTTAAACAAATGTCTAAGATACAGTGGTTTGAATTCTAATTTTCCCCCTTTCTCTACCCCAGTACAACCCACAACCCTCATGGATATTAATAATATCCTCTATATATGCATAAAATATTTGGTAGAAAAGACATATTATTAGGTATATATCTTTGGATGGTGGAATTATATGTAATTTTTATTTTCCTTGTTATCTTTTCTGCATTTTTCTAAATTGAATATACTATGCATTGTTATCCTCAGAGAAAAATAATTGTGGGGAGGAAGAAGGAGGTCCTGCTTTCATTTGATTTCTTGGTTGATTTTATTCTATAAAATAGATTTTAACAAAGGTTAGAACTGATTAAAATTTCAAAGACAGTTGACCTAATGACACTAGACAGGGCAGAACCTAGTTTAGATCCTTTCCAGTATATGATTGAAATGGGTCTTTAAATAGAGATTTTATTTAGGTATAATACATTTAGAATAAGTAAAGAACTACATGCACATGG